TGGACGACCGCCGTGCATAGCGGCCGCGGTGAGGGACCACCCCCTGCGCACCCCCTATGGTGTCGAGAACATGCCGCGCCTGCTATGCCCTGGACGACCGTCGTGCATAGCGGCCGCGGTGAGGGGCCACCCCCTACGCACCCCCTTATGGTGTCGAGAAAATGCCACGCCTGCTATGCCCTGGACGACCGTCGTGCATAGCGGCCGCGGTGAGGGACCACCCCCTACGCACCCCCTTATGGTGTCGAGAAAATGCCACGCCTGCTATGCCCTGGACGACCGTCGTGCATAGCGGCCGCGGTGAGGGACCACCCCCTGCGCACGCCCTTATGGTGTCGAGAAAATGCCACGCCTGCTATGCCCTGGACGACCGTCGTGCATAGCGGCCGCGGTGAGGGACCACCCCCTGCGCACCCCCTATGGTGTCGAGAAAGCGATGCGGTCACGCCTGCCGTGCCCTGCGCGCTAGCTCTGCGTGCTCTGCTGTACCGAGCAGTGCTGTGCCGTGCTGTGCCGAGCTGAGCTGTGCTGTGCTGTGCTGAGCTGAGCTGAGCTGTGCTGTGCTGTGCTGAGCTGAGCTGTGCTGTGCTGAGCTGTGCTGAGCAGTGCTGTGCTGTGCTGTGCTGTGCTGCGCTGTGTGAGAAGGGGAAGAGGGAGGTGAGTGAGTGAGCGCGGGTGCGACGAGGCATGGAAGAAAACCAGAACCCCACTAAGCATGTGGGGGAAAATACCCTAACAGTATTCAAGAATGGTGCAAAAATAATGAAACATCGTCCTCAGACTATGGTTTGACTATTTTTGAATACCCCTCCTGTAGAGGAACAGGCCCGACTTGAGTGTCGTACCAGCTTGTTTGCTGGGCCAGCGCCGGAGACGGGGGGGTTCTGGAGACGATTCGCAAGTGTGGTCGCGATGCCCGCCGCCTCTGGTCGAGACCCACTGCCGACCGATGGATCTTCTAGATAGAGGACTGATCTGAGCGAAATGATGAAGGGGCCCAGGGACACACAGATAAATACACACAAATCCCAGGATTCCCCATATTTCCCAAGACTTCCTGTGCCTTCGTCTTCCCCCCACTTTCCATATTTCCCCATATTTTCCCGGGGATCGACGATTAATTGTGTCTGTGTTTTTTCCCCCTCCTGAAATGAACTCGCTCGAGTCTGGTGGGGCACCCTTGTGCGATACCCTACCCCTGGCCAGGCTGATGGGTTACATCACCTCCAGGGTATTTCTTGTCTTGGTTTAGCAGGACGCGTCCAGGAGAGGATCGCCTGGCGCCCAGCAAGGTCGGCACCTCCCGCAGGCAGGGCACTCTCGGTATGCACCGGACTTGAAACGTGCCTCGAGAACTTCTGATCCAGGGCCTGGAATCTGAGCCGGAGCTGCCAACGACAATAAACATCCACTTCTACGAGCGTCAGATTGAGCACCTCGCATCGCACTCCGTGCCGTACCGACCGGCACGTTCCCAGTAGACTTCGAAGGAAGCCGTGCTGCTCCAGATAGCTGACCACCGTCTTGCGCCAAGTCATGGGGGCAGCGTGCAGACCGCACACGTGGCCTGGCAAGTGGATGAGTGAGCCAGGTTCGAGATCTATTCCATCACGCGGTTCGACATATATCTGGCCCTGGGGGATCTGGCAATAGGGCCAGACTGACAGAAAGCGTTCCCAGCGTCCGCGACGTCGCTGAACATCCCGATATTGGACGTCACCTGAACAGTCGCCATTGTCAAGGACGTTTGGGGAGCGGGGGCGCACGCGGCCAGGGACCCCGAATCCAGATCGCGGTGTCCGTGGGCGCACTACCGGGACTTGGCATCGGGCTCCGCGAAGGTGCCCTCCACGTGTTTCCTCCTTCTCACCGTCCTGATCGAGACGATGCGGCCTTGGCAGCTTCGCCTGATCAAGGCCGCCTGCGCAAGGGCAATCAGTCAGACGGCCCCGGCCTGCATCGTGGCAGCCCGCTCTTTCTTGTCTGACGCCTCGAACTTCGACCGCTCGGCAAGTGCGAGCTTCTCAACATTGACCTCGCCTCCTCTGATAGCCTTAGCTCGGGCATGTCCCCCTACAGGCAGATTGTGCCAGATGTTGATCCTGGTCCCAAAATGCGCCCCTACAGGGAGATCAATCAATAGTCAAGGAATGCTCCTCGAATGCCCGCAAACACATGTTTCGCAAGGACAAGACAAGAAAACGTCCGCGGACTACTTCTTGACTACTCCAGATTTCGTAATAAAGGGAGGGGGGTCTCATTTCGGGGGGGGTCTCTTCCAGGCTATCTTGGAGGGCCTTGGGGGGGTCTGGGGACAATGCTCTGGAGGGCTCTCCCAGGGGGGGGGGGGGTCTAAAACTTCTCGTCTGGGAGGGTCGAGACCCCCTCCCCTTATTACGAGATCTGGAGTGTGCCTGCATCTCTCTCCTGTGGAGGGACAGGCCCGACTTCGCGACAGCCTCGAGCATGCCTCCGCCCTGCGAGCCCGCGCCGCGCCGACCTCGGAGCTCGGCCCCCCCGTCGGGCGCCCGCCGCGGTCGGGCCCCCCGGCGGGCCCGGGCACCGCCCAGAACCCCCCCTCGGCCTTGGGTCGGGCCCTGTCCCCCCTGCAGTGGGATGTTGAGCGAAAATGTGAAAAATATCCAGAACATGCCCCCCGAATGGCCATACACAAATAATAATAATAATAATAATAATAATCATAATAATAATAACAGTACTAATAATAATAACAATTATAAATTGATAGCAATAACAAGAATAATAATAACAATAATAATAATAATCATACTAATAATTCATGATAATAATACGAATATTAACAATACGAATAACAATAATAATGATGATAATAATAGTAATCATCATCATCATCATAATAAACCCCAGTACTACTTTGTAATATTTTCCCCCTGTAGGGGGACAGGCCCGACTTACAACTAATCAAGCTCAAAGGCTCGACCCAGGAAGGAGACCTGGTTCAGCAGGGACCAGGGGTCCCGGCAATGCTAGTAGACCTACCACGGAAGTTTCTCAGAACCCAGCAGTGTTCTGAGAACAAGAACGATGATCTTAGAGCAGAACACCGATGTGCTTAAACAAGACAGCCCCAGCCAGAAGTGTTCTAAGAGCATTTCGTGCAGACCGCCAAAGGTCCTTAGAATCAGATTCTTGGATGGGCCTATCGGCCAGCCAGGACGCCTCGCCAATGTCTAACCCGGATCTCTGACCGGACGTCCTCTGTTCAGCCTCGTTCCTGCCGGCCAGAGCCCTGGAGGGCTTGTCTCCTGGCGCGCCTGAGTGCCCGGCTGAAGGGGGGGGGGGGGGGGGCGGGCCTGGAGGGCCAGGGGTGGGGGGTGGGGCGGGGAGGCGACGATTCCGCGGAGGGGATCTTGCACGGGAGCGGTCTCGACCTCCCCGAGACGGGGCCACTGCTCCTCCGACGGGCAGCCCTCGCGACGAGGCGGTCCGGCGGCGTCGCGGAGGGCGGGGTCCCCGAGCCTCGGGGAGAGCGGTGGGCGGCGGCGGCGAGGCGGCGGCAGCCGGACGATTAGGGCGAGGAGGAGAAAGAGAATCGCCCGATGTGCTCTTTATTTCGTAGCCTGCAGAGTATCCACCAGCCCGTTCGTGGGGTGAACGACGTCTGCTGCTGCTGGACCCGCACTGGAGCGCCCACGGCTCGCTCCAGCTGCCCCTGGGTCCGCTGCCGTGCCGCTGGGCACGGCGTGAGCTTGTCCTCGTGTCCTGGCCCCTCTCCTCCACGACTCAATCCTCACTCCCGAGGAGTCTTTCAGTGGCGCCCGAGCGGCCGCGGCACCCAATACATCCTCCAAACCCGCCGATTCTCGGAGATTTCGAGATATCCCGATCCGATGTTGTCCTGATCTTCGCGTCGTTTTATCATGTCCTGGCCCCTATCCTCCACGACTCAATCCTCACTCCCGAGGGAGTCTTTCGGTGGCCCGGACCCGTTGCTCTCAAAAGTCTCCAGGGGGGGTTTCCCGCGGGCCCCATGGGGGGCTTCCCGCGTGCCTGCTGGGCAATTTGCCAAGTGGTGGCGCGTGACTTTTCTGGGCCCCAGAAGGCCCCGACACGGGCCAAGTGGGCCCCGAGAGGCATCCAGGACGGCCCAAGAGGGCTCCGAGATGCCGAAAAAGATCGGCTCCAAGACGCCCAAGGTGTCCTCGAGATGGCCCAAGTTGGCCCAAGAGGCCTCCAAGACGGCTCAAGAGGCGCCCAAGACGGCCCGACAAGGGGCTCAAGAGAGGCAACACGAGTCCCAAATCCAAGCCTTCCTCCCCAAGAGGCCCCAAGGAGGCTCCAAGAGGCGCCCAGGGGGCCCCAAGAGGCCCCCAAGAGGCCCCCAAGAGGCCTCCAAACTGCCCCCGACAGGCATGCCCCTGGGAAGCCTCCCGCGAGATCCCAATGAACATCCAATAAGTTTCATGCCAACAGCCGGTGGCGGGGTTGGCCGACTGCCTTCATATATCTGGATCTACCTCGATAGATACTCCGATTTCCCCTGCAAGGAGGGGTTCCCATTTGGGGGGTCTAATTTGAGCTGCCTTGGAGAATTCCGAAGGTCTGGGCAAAAGGCCGCCCTTTCATGGCTGGTCTGGGGGGGGGTCTCGTGACCCCCAAACCCCTTCTCATGCAATTCTGAGTCTGGACCTGCCTCGATATGTCTGACTGTGCCTCGGTGCATCTGGATATGCACCTCAGCTTATCTGGCCTGGTCCGCGCAGGTCGATTGGAGAAACGTCGTCGAACCCCTTGGGAGCTCGTCGGACCTGAAGGCACGAGCCCCCCCCCCAGCGCGTGGTCCCGCTTCTGCTCGTCGAGCACCGTCAGCTGCAGCTCCTGCCCGGCGAGGCGGCGGCGGCAAGGAAGGGCGAGGGAGGAGAGGGAGGAGGAGGAGGAGGAGGAGGAGGAGGAGGAGGATATGATGGAGGAGAAGGAGGAGGGGGAGAGGAGGAGGAGGAGGAGGAGGAGGAGGAGGAGGAGGAGGAGGAGGAGGACTTTTGAAGGGTTTCGCAAGGTTTCGTCTGTTTTCGGCAGTCTTCCAGCCTCGGGACGCGTCTCCGCAGCCGCGCTTCGCCGAGGGGTTTCCGGGGGGACCCAGATCGTCCCGAACGGCCGCCGAAGGCCCTAGGCATTTCCCGAAAACTTAGCGACCCAAGAGGAGGAGGAGGAGGAGGAGGAGGAGGAGGAGGAGGAGGAGGAGGAGGAGGAGGAGGAGGAGGAGGAGGAGGAGGAGGAAAAAGGAGGAGGAGGAGGAGGAGGAGGAGGAAGAGAAAGGAGAGAGGAGAGAGGAGAGAGGCGAGAGGAGGGGGAGGAGGAGGAGGAGGAGGAGGAGAAGGAGGATGAGGACGAACAGGAAGATGAGGAGGAGGAAAGAGGAGGATGAGGAGGAGGAGAATGATCCCCCCGCGCTCTGTTTCTCAGTTTCCTAGTGTCTGATGCCAGCGCCGTCTGGAGTCCGACTGCACACGAGCGTGGGTGAGCAGAGGCACGGCGGCGCACATTTCACCCGATATGAAGGAATGAAAACGGCTTGGGTAAGGCCACGGGGAACCGAACAACTAACTACGAGCGCGCATAGATCATTCACGTACAACTCACATGATCCCCCCGCGCTCTGTTTCTCAGTTTCCTAGTGTCTGATGCCAGCGCCGTCTGGAGTCTGACTGCACACGAGCGTGGGTGAGCAGAGGCACGGCGCCGCACACTTCACCCATATCACCCATAACATGATGTGTCACCTACTCTGCTGCGTTGGGAGGAGTAGCTACACGCTTGCCACGGGCACTGAACGAAAGCGGCGGCGGCGGCTGCACCGCGCGGCCTCTGAGGATCGAGTCCTTGAGCGTGTATACCTGCTCCTCCAACCAGCAACGCAGCGCCAGGGGAAGCAGGGCGTAGTCTTTCATCATCATGGATGACTTCTCGTAGCGCTGCACACTTTTGGTAGACATCCAACCACCACGACGTTGCACTTCGTACAAGTTGCGATGCTATATATATATATATATATATATATATATATATATATATATATATATATCCCAGGAGGCGCCCGCATGGCGCAACTGGTAGGGTACAATGTCTTGGCCGAGCAGTCGGCCTTGCTTACGAATTTCACGCACTAACTCTGGATAGGTAAACTGCCACAAGCTCTCATTTCGTTTTCCGACGGCTAGAATCTGAAGAACTTCGCCCATCCATTCAAAACCCTGAGTGTCCCACAAGATGGTGTCGTCCTGGGTTCCCACCTTCGAGACCTGGTGGAGGTCTGACCTGTGCGCGAGCACACGCCACATGGTGTCGACCTTCATGGTAGGTGGGACCAGCGAGCCCCTGGTGAGCTGCATCATAGAGCCTGGGCGCAGGTAGGTGCAGAAAGCGATGATCGCCCAGATGGCCATGTCCAGGTGCCCCTCGTAGGCAAGCAACGCGGCCAACCCTGCGACCGTCGGCAGGGTCAAGGGCTGTCGACTGCGTGGCGGGTCCAGCTTGGCCCAGCCCCTGGCAGCCCGCCAGGCTCGCGGAAGAGAAAGGTCGCCCAGCTTGCCAAAACGAGGTTGGAAGAACACCACGGCCGCGATCAGCTTCGGGCCGGTGCCCGCGTCGTAGCCCAGCATATACACGTGGGTCATGAAGGCGACGATGGCCACGTCGAAGTCCTGCACTTTGTCGGTGTTCAGCTTGCGCTCGTCGACGTAGTTTACCAGGCCTCGATATAACTTTCGATATTGCGCCCAGGTTCGCTCTCCTACCGAGCTTCGTTCTAGCACCGAAACGTGTTGCAGACCTGGCTCCTTTGCCATCCTCGCATGGTGGATCTTGCGCCTCAGCACGCGACCCTGCACGAGCGGGTTGCCATCCTCCTCCGAGGTCGTGCCGTCCGAAGCTTCCAGACGGCTGGCGCCCCTCTCCGCCTCCTCCAGCAGCACGGGCAAGGGGGGGCGATCGCGTCGCTGTTGTAAAGTAGCCTGCCACATCTTCTCTAGTGGCAGCGGGTCCGTACGACGAAGAAGCACACGAACTTCCCTCTCCTCCGTCGGAGCTGCTCTCTTGGCCTTCCTCACCAAGGACATGTCGAGCCCAATCAAGTAAAGAAGTAGAGCATTGTGGGACTTCATGCTTGGCCAAAACGGCTACAGAGCCCTGCCGTCCTCGAGCGAGACGGCGTACATCAGGAGCGACGCTCAACTCGACCGCGCCCCCCCGATGCAGACCGGGGTCCCTTGAAGGTTTGTCGGAGCGGTTGAACTCACTCGGGATCCACCTGAGCCCCGCGAAGAGGTTTCGCGACAGCGCCAGCGCCGCCGCCCGCCGAACCTGCACCAGCAGAGGAAAAGCACGGGCCCTGGATCTTGCAAAGCTGAGCGTGACACCGAGGTTATCCCCAAGAGCCAGAAGACGACAGCTATGAACTCCAGGTTCCAAAACAACATTAGCGATTCCAAGGACTCCAGCTCTGGCTTCCCCCTCATGTACAGTCCTCTTCTCCTCCAGGAATGGCAGAAGAGCACTTCCCAGTCTTCCCCCACAAGCCCCTCGACCGGAACCTCGGGAAACGACAAGTCTTGCTCCCAAAGCTCCGAGACGCCCTCGAAAGACGGCGGCGGCGTCACAAACGCCAGGGGGTCATCAGGGTCGAGGCAAGAAAGCGCATGCCCACGAGCCTGCGGAGCATCCCGACGAACAAATCTAGCTCTCTCTTGGACTCTCCCCTGAGCGGCCGCCCAGGCAGGAGACCTAGTGGCAACACAAGCCCCAGCACCCTCAGGACAGGAGTCACACGATAACACCTCCCCAAGCCAGCAGCGGGACCAGTCCGAGCGAATAAGAGGCATGAGGTAGAGGAAAGACTCGAGCTCCTCACGCGCTGTTGGCCACAATGGAGCCCACGAGCGTCGGCACCTCCGAGCGACCTTGTAGACCGAGGCGAAGCAGGAGAGGAGAGGACGCTAAAGCATAGCGAGGTAGGTGCAGCGGCCCAGAAGAACCTCGAGGGCTTTTCCAGTTACCTTGGGCGCCTCCAAGAAAGCCTCCAGAGACCAACGAATATTCCAGCATCGCTTCCACGCAGGCCTGAAACACTTTAGCTCTCCGTTGAACTCGATCCCAAGAGCGCCCCGAACCTGGCCAGCCTCCTGGACTACGTGGCACTGCATTTTGTTAGCGTTAAGAACGTGTTTGATGTTATCAAGCGACTTCTGGACCTCAATCTTGTCAGCTCCCAAGATCCCCACGTTGCCCACATGCACGTGAAAGACGGGCGCGGAGTCCTCACCTATGATGAGCCCGTCCCCCCTGTCCTCCACCGCCACAGAGCCTTCCATCCAAGAGGCCTCCCGAACCAGGCGAGCATTGATACGCTGGGCCCAGAAGACCGACCAAGAGAAGCCCATGGGGAGCACGGCCATGGCGGCCCACGCAGGCCCGTCTCCAGGAAACTCCCGTCCCCGAACATGCGCCAGACCTAGCTCTCGCGCGCGAACGGGGGGCGGGCACAAATAATCGCCCAAGTCGCTGTCTATACCGATTCTGTGGAAGCAGTTGTCCACGTCAAGAGACGCCTCAAAAAGCTCAACACCTCCATCCACCTCCAAGCGGGCGAAACTCTCGGGCGTGGCCAGCAGAGTACTAGGAGGATCTCGGAAAAGCTGGTTAGTGCGTCTCGCATCGATGATAAGTCGCTGTCTTCCATCCTTTTTTCGAACAAAGAACGGGGTGGCGATCTCTTTGGGCGTAGTCGACCACCTGATCAGACCACGACCGTGCAACATCTTCAGAAAACGAACGTACTCGTGCCGTCGAGTGCAAAGCTTCTGGTCAAAATACGGGTTAATACGCTCGCCGTAGTCTCTCATTTGCATCACTTCCATCACATCTCTCATCATGCTCTCCATAAAGTTCACCACCGCCTCCCTGTCCTCCTGAAGGAACCAAGTCCTGAAGCGGCGTCCTGTCCTGGACTCCTTCGGGCAGAGAGACGAGGGCTCGATCGAACTCGACGACAGTGGAAGCTACGTGGTCATAACCACGCTTGCTCTGGAGGAGCTCGCGCACTGCTCCCTCCTTATCAAAAAAGGCGGCGCCGGCGGCTGTTGGGCAACTCGTCCCGCGACAAAATCGCGAATCTCGCTCGCCACCTCTTGGCGAACGAGTGGGCTCGAAGCTCGGGAATATAGCCAGTTGAGGCCCGTCAAAACCTCCCCGAACCAACGCGACTGATGGCTCCTGAGGTTCGCTCTCCGCCTGCACCTTCTCGAGAGACGCGTCGGCGGAGAAGCAGAGTGGTCGCAAGACTCGAGCGGAAACAGCGGCACCTGTCGTGCCCCCTGCGCATCACTCTCGCCTGTCAGCGCGCATGCCGCGCGGCGACTGCGGCACGCACTACCATCGGTCTTGCCGGCAAGGATGGCGGCCTCACTCATCTTTGCTCTCCTCCTTCTCCTTGCCCTTCCCTGCGGACTCCCCGCGCTCGAGGGCGACCTTGGCCTCGCCCCTCAGAGCCTTGGCCTTGCTAGTCTGTTTGTCGATCTCAGCCTCCTCTCGCACCTCCTTGGCCACGTAGGTGCGAAGCGCAGGCGCCACAAGCTGTTGTCGGCGGTTGTAGCCCGAGAACTTACCAGCAATCTCGCAGTTCGGGTTCATAGGGTTCTTGCCATGAGCCTCAAGTATAGCCTGCCATCTCCGCCCCAACCTCTCGAAGGCCGCGAGCGAAGCAACGTTGCGTTGATCGTGGGAGATAGCCGGTTCAAAAACCTCCGCCATCACCCGCACCTCATGAATAGAGCGATCGTTCTCGCTCCAACCCGCCGTCTGGAGATGGCGCTCTAGCCAGAACGTGGGCACCATCGCCAGCTGTGCAAACGACATCATCAGCCACCGGAAAGTACGAGGTCCATCCAAGGGCCAGTCCAAGAAGGCGTCCTCGACCATCTCCTTGACCGAGTCCACCCAGACGCGCTCCCTGCGGTTGAAAGCATTGAACCTCGCCGACAGCGTGCGAACATCCTCGTCCGCCTTCCTGCCAGGCCCCTCGCCCGCACCAGGAAGCTGCGGGCCCGCAAGAGCCCCCCCGCAGGGCCTGGAGCCCTGTGGGCGAGCCAGGGCCTCCATCACGCTCGTCGGGCGCGTGAGTGCCACCCAGGCCCGCCAGGGGCAGGGTCTTGCGGCCCGAGAAGTAGCCGTCGAGGTCGCCCACCTTGCTTCGCTCGAGCGCCGCGACGGCCGAGCCGAACTTGGCGAAGCCGCGGTTCCCGAGCCTGCGCGCCACGGACTCCGCAGCGACCTGAGTGCCGATCCTTGCCGCCTCCAGGTCCCCGTCGAAGACAAGCTCCGACACGACCCAGACCTCGTCACTCTCGGGAGCGGCGGCAAGGTCAGCCTGACCGTCAGCAGGCTGAGGCAGAGGAGGAGCAGGACCTCGCGCACCGAGGCAGGGCCGACGGAAGTTCCTGATCGCAAACGGGTCGCCCCGCACTCTCGGGCGCGGAATCTCGTCGAGCCCTTCGCCGACGATGACCTGCAACGCCTCGGCCCTCAGCTCCGAGAGCTTGTCCCAGGGCACCGTCTGCTCGAAACGGTAGATGGGCCTCGGTAGCCCCCTCGGCACCGTGCGGACACTCAGCACTTCAACTCTGATCGGCCCGCGATCTCCAGTAGTCCTCCACTCCTCCGCGTAGACATCGAAGTCAGGCGAAGCCCCAACCCTGAGACGTTTGCCATCCAGTGACTCAACCTCCCTCAGCAAAATCCGTTCATGACCGTATTCGTCCCCTTCGTACCAGTAGATGGCATAGCCACATGGCAGAGCCTCCACGACTCCCGCCATCACTGTTAAACGCGACCGAACCCTCCACGACGAGGGGCAGCAACACGACGAGGGCAGCAAAGCCGAGTGAGTAGACCTCCGACTGCTGATCCGAGTAGCACTCCCAGGAGGCCGATACTGGCAAGGGAGACGCTGGCGTCTGTGGGTGCAATGAAGCACGTCCTGTTGAAGAAGTCGGGCGGCACCTCGCACACGGGATGACGTTCCAGCGGCCGCGGACACACTCAGTCGGGTACCTCTGGACACTCCGAAGGCCGAGGACAGTCACAGAAGCAGTCTGGGCACTGGTGTCGAGTGGAAAGTGAATCTAAAAAAGCGAGCACCCTCGCAAGTCCGACTGCGAAGAAACCGATGCCAACCTCTGGCCTCATGCGTATGAGCCGAAAAACTAATTACGAGCGCGCATAGATCATTCAGGTACAACTCACAAAAAGGAGGAGGAGGAGGAGGAAGAGGAGGAGGAGGAGGAGGAGGAGGGGGAGGAGGAGGAGGAGGAGGAGGAGGAGGAGGAGGAGGAGGAGGAGGAGGAGGAGGAGGGAGGAGAAGGAGGAGGAATAGCAGCAGGAAGCGGAGGGAGGAGGAGTAGGCGTGCGGAGGAAGGGCGCAACGAATGGCATCAGCGCGGCCAACCAAGCTGGCATGGGCGAGATGCTGCAGTTCCGCAGGTTCGAAATGAAATAAACAGGCGTTTCCTTGAACCTGGGGGGGGTGATCTGCCGATCGTCCACTACTTCACAGCTTCTACTAAACGAAAGCATCTTGCACGCAACGCGTCGATGATATGTGAGATTGGGGAAGGAAAGCAACGATTCGCGTCGATGCGGCGTGCCACTCTAGCGCGGGCACAGTAATGGATCTGGGCGGGAATGGCGGCGGACCACCAACAATATATTTATATATAATTATATATACACATATATGTGTACGACCACCCTTCGGGTGATAAGGATGTTGCGCGGTGTGTGGGGAGGATAACCAAGTGATGGCACATGCGATGGGTATGATGCTGGCGATGCTGTTGGCGCGTCCTCGAGTTAGCGACGACGCGTGTTGACGATGTTGCGCAGCGGTGTAATGACACTTTCGTTCCCGCATTCGATCTCACGGAATCGACCCCACAATTGGACGGGATCGATCACACTCGACCGATCCCACTATGGATCTCACCACCGATATCGCGATCGATCTCGCTGTCGTTTCCTCGATCGATCTCACTAGCGATCTCACGACCAACGTCACAAACAACTTCACTGTCGATCTCATGTGCAATGTCCCTATACACCACAATCTACGCAGCCGCCCGCCCACCGCCGCCGGAACAACGACGGGACACCGACGGGACACCAACGGGGCACCACAGGACACCACGGTGGAACACCCCGGGCCACCGCGCGCCGACTGGGCGGGAGGGGCGGCCCACTGCATCCGAAACGCCTGAGCGACGGCGGGGTCGTTCGTCTCGCGCGCCCACGCATCATCGCCTCGCCCGCACGCGCGGCACGAACGCGAAAACGAAACCGATTTCCTGGCGGGGTGCTCCCCGTTGAACTGCGGTATTACCCCCCGGCCTCCGACGATGTCCATGTGCAAGTTTTTGTGCGAGGAGGAAACGGGAAGGAGATCTAATCATGTGAAAAACAAGGAAGTGGGGACGCTGGGAAGTGGATAGGAAAGAGGGAAGAGGGACGAGAAGGAAGAACATACTTGGATTCCAACGTGGGTTCGTTACGATAGAAGCGGTCATGAAACAAACGTTGCGACACATATTATGCTTATATGTGCATGCGCGGCCTGGCAAACCAATGCGTCATCAACGCGACGCCACAACGTCGTGGGCTCGAACGTTTGGTCTGGGAGCACGCCGCGCACGACCACCCAGATCGTGAAGTCATGCAACCGATCACTGTGCTCTGGGGGGTGCACGGACACGCAAAACGCTGATCAGCTAAACGTTAGCTGGCGCCCGTCTCATCCTCATGCCCAATACCCGCCTCCTCCCAATATCACTTCGCTTTGGCCCCACCCGCCTCACACCCCTCTGACTACCCCCAGTCCTCATCATGCCCCTTATCCACGTTGTCAGCCCCCCCGTGTGACAGTCCATGTCGATCCTCGTCGTCCTCCTCCGCCGGACGAGTCCCCCCCATCGTCCACATGCCTGCCCTTCTCCCATCCACTACGCCCTGGTGCAAATCATCCCCCCTCCTTCTGCCCCCCCCCCCCCCCGCCTCCCTCGTCCCCGCGATGCTGACACCGATGATGCAGCTCCTCCTGGGTCTATTCCCCCCCCCTCTCGTCATGCCCCTTTCATCCCAGGCCGCTTCGCCACCCCTCCCCCCGCGCGTCTTCACTCCCACGCCTCTGCACTCCCAGACAACGGCCCCCTCCTGGATCAGCCGGGAGATCCGCGGAAACTCCCACCCAGCGCACACTCCAGCGAGCGGCGCGCAACATATGCGCAGTTGGGGACACGAGCTGTGCATTTCGATCGCGCACGACGCCCCCCTGGACCAGCCGAAAGAACAACGTGAAATACCCCGCCCAACACCAACGACGGGCACACTCCAAATACACAGATGGGAACAGCATCTGCGTACACTGATCACACCACGATTTGCGTAAACGGTGGACCCACACACGAAAATACACAATTGAATACACCAGCTGTGTGCACATATCACACCTTGATATGTATTTCGAAAAGGGTAAACGCTCGCCACCTCGAGGGCGCCCCGACTTTGCCAAACCAGGACCGAGGTCGACGTGCCCAGCTTGAAGGGAATGCAAGTACACACTTCCCCGGCCCAAGGCGCCCCCGAAGGAACTGCAAATACACGCTTCCCTGGCGAAGGGCGGCCACGGCGAAATGCTGCACCAAAGCGGCCCCCAACGGCCCGAAGACATCCCAAAGGGGCCCCGAAGGACCCCAAAGAAGGCCGCACAACAGTCCGAAAACACGAGAAGTGTCACGTGCCACGGACCTCTTAGCAGTCAAAGCCCCGCGCGTCGCCATACAGACGGCGGCGGCCGTGCCGCCCGCGTTTGGAGTGCGTCCCGGACGCTTGAATTGGCAATCCCCTCTGTTTGGTTGCGCCGCTGTGCTCGGATATCGAAATGGCGAGTTAACGTTGATGCGGGCACGCGGCACCAGGGACTTCACTTCCCTTGTTCGAACAAGGAGGGAAAACGAGGTAGGACGACGGACGGTGGAGCAGGGAGGCACAGAGCAACGAGGAATCATCGGGGAGGTGGAAAGGGCGCTCTCCCGCCCGAGCCGCGGACGCTTTCGACACCATCCAAGGGGGGAAGAAAAGAGGGGGACGGAGCAAGGGCGAGGACGACGACGAGAAACAAACTGTCCTCGGTCCGCAACTAGCCATGTGCTTGCGATTCGGGTGCGCGCGTTTTCTTCGAGGCACTTCAAGCCCGACCCATACTGAATTCACGAATCCCTCCAAACTGTGTAAGCACTCTGTCCTCTGTACACCCTCCTATACAGACGCCACAAAACAGAGGAGCAGTGGATTCCAAGAGGAGAGGATTGAGGAGGTTCGGAGGGAGTTGAACTGCTCGTTTTTCTTCGAGCGGCCACGGGGGACAGGAAGAGGGGTCTGCTCCTCCGCGGCCCACCGGTCGAAGACCTGGTCCAGCGACTCGTTCTGCCGCACCTTGCTGGCCGGGAGGTAGCCGTTCCTGCAAGAGGAAGCCAGGACGAGGATAGAGTCGGGTAAGGATCAATCGAGAATCTCCGAAATGCGGCGGCTCTGGAGGATGTTTCGGGCGCCGCGGCCTTCTCGGAGCGTTCTGGAGCGCTCTGAAAGCGTTTCGGAAAACTCTGGAATGGATTGATCCTCGTCCTGGTCCCGTCCGGTCCTGCCAGTTCCAGAGGGGGCGGGGGGACGAGGAGGGGGGATATCCTGGACGCGCGAGAGCTCCAGGCCCCAGGAAACTTTGCGGCGGATGTGTCGGGTGGCTCGGGAGATGGAGGAGGCAAGCTTGAAGGGGCCCTGGAACACACAATCGAATAGGGACAAATCCCAGGTTTCCCTACATAGTTCCATATGTTCTGGGCTTTCGTCTTCCCGCCATTTCCCATGTCTTCACATATTTTCCTGGGAATCGATGTTTCATTGTGTGTGTCCTTTCCTGGCGCGCCGTTGACGGCGACACCAATTCACTCTCCCTCCGGGACTTCGCCCCCGGCTCCTGTCCAAGGCGTACCTTCTCCTGTGCAAGCTCTTCGGCACCGCCTGTACTCCGCACCCTCCGGCCGCCTGAGGCCCCGCCCGCCCGCGCCCTGCCTCCCAAAGTAGTGCTTCGCGCGCCCCGCCTAGCTCTTAACCGGAAGAGGCCCGCTTTCGACCCGCCGACCAACAAAAAGTGTCTGTCCTTTCCCTCCCTGAAAGCCGAGGGGACAGAACGCAAGGGTCGGACGGGGGTCGAAAAACTGCAACGGAGTAGCACCGCAACTTTAACGCGCCCGGGGGGCACTTCCAGTCCCCCAGGGCCGCCCAGAAGCTGCTCAGGGCTCGAGAGCTCCAGGGCCTCGCGATTCGAAAAGTAAGGAAAATCGAGTCCTTGGAGAATCGGGGGGGGGTCATTATTCCTTCACATCTTCCTCCGCCTCCTCCTCCTCCTCCTAGTCCTACTCCTCCTCCCACGCTGCTCATTCTGCTCCTCCTCCTCCTCGTCCTCCTCATCCTCCTCCGCCGTACTCAACTGGCGCATCCTCCTCCTCAGCAGGGAACAATCGAAAGGGAGACGAGAAGATTCCCCTGTCCTGCTTCGCAGCCGTCCGTCTGGCAGCTGCTCGTGCGTCTCGCAGAGGATCATGTTGTTGCACATGAGCTTCACGCGCATGACCTGACGCGACGTCGCCCTCCTCCTCCTCCTCCTCCTCCCTCCTCCGCCTCCGCCTGCGCCTCCTGTTCCTCCTGCTCATGCTGCCATCTGCCGACCCTCCTTCGCAGTCTCCATCCCAGTCTCTCTCCCCTCCGCCTCCTCCTCCTCCCCCCCTCCTCCTCCTCCTCCTCCTCCTCCTCCTCCTCCTCCTCCTCCTCCATCCTCCCTCTCGTCCTTCTCCTTCTTCCTCCCTCTCATGTGCAATGTTCCTCGTCATCCTCCTCCTCCTCATCCTCCCCCTCCTCCTAAAGCAGTCCTCTCCTCATCCCACTCCCTTCATCATTATCCTCCTCCTCCTCGTCCTCGTCCTCCTCCTCCTCCTCGTCCACATCATCCTCCATCCTCCATCTCTGCTTCCCCCTCCTTCAGAAAAGGAGGAGGCGAACCTTCCTGTCGTCCTCGTCCACCAACCCTCATGCTCCCATTCCTCTTCCTCCTTCGCCACCTCCTCCTCCTCCTCCGTGTACTCCTCCTCCATTTCCTACTCCGCAACCAGTCCTCCTCCTCATGCGCCATATGTCAGTTTTGCCCCCGCTCCTCCTCCTCCTCCTCCTCCTCCTCCGCCTCCGCCTCCTCCTCCTCCAGTTCCTCTCTCCTCCCATGTTTTCCCGACTCCTCCCCCCTCCTCCTCCTCATTCTCCTCCTGCTCCTCCTACTCACCCCCCTCCTCACGCTTCACCTCCTCACGCTCCGCCTCCTCCTTCATGCCCTACCTCCTCGTCCAGGGCTCCAGTCGCCTCCCAGCCCCCCCCAAAAAAAATCTCCGCCTCCCAGAGCCCCCTACGTGGTGCGTGCCGGCCCCGTGCCTGCATCGAGCGCATGATGCGCGTCCCGCTCTCGGTATCCACCTCACGGGGCCCCCGCGGGGGATGGGGCGGGGAGGGGACGAAAGAGGGAGAGAGAATGGGGAGGAGG